CATTACGCTAACTGCTGGTCCCCACGTGAGGTTTTTTCTGAGCTGGTACCTGATGGGCCCTTTTAATCTGGAAGCACAAGTCCTTTCTTTTATTTTGTTTTCTCTGTGGGCTCTGCTAGAATTTCAGCACCATAGCCTGACTCTCTAATTGTCTTTGCTGTGTGTCATCTCCTTTGTTTTACTTCATGTACTTGCTGGAAGATGTCCTCAATTTCTCCTCCAAACCTCATAAAGGAGTTTTCACAGTATCTTTTCTCCGAGAGCTTCAGTAGTTTTATTTTCCTCTCTTGCTTAGTTTGGTCCCTGTCTTTCATGTTAGACAATTCCTTCAAATATCTAGATAGCCTTTGCTGTCTGCCCATATTTAAGTTGAGAAGTCCCGTGTACATAGCTGGGACTTCCCGACTGTGAGTTCACAATGCGGTGATCTGGCTAACTGCTTTCCTGGAGAAACGCTGACATTAATGCCCTTACATCTTTTCTTTGACTAATCAAATTCCCCAGAGAAGAGCCATCCAGTCTCTGACCTGGAAAGCACAAGCCTCGTCGCCAGACTTCTAGTCACCACAGCTCAGAACATAAACTTTCGCTTTCTCTCTGTTTTCACAGCAGTCCTGTATTCTTGCCCTCAACTGTGCCTGGGTGCCCCCACTCTCACCCCAAGCTAAAAATCCTGCTTCCATCTCCAACAAAGAAATCTCCAGTATACTAATAGGTCGGGGAAGAATAGCCACCAAACTATATGGAGTCAAGGAGGAGGTCTGTCAGTCTAACTTCTTTAAATAATCTTTTTTTTTTTTTTTTTTTTGGAGAGATTTTCACTGTAGGGCGCGTGCGCTCGCCAGACAGACAGAGAGAGACATAGAGACAGAAAGCGAGAAATCACCCCCCAGGGAGGATGGTCACGCCGCAATCCCTTCTCCTCCATTCTCCTCTCGGGATCTTGGGCACGCACGCACACGCGCCCGGCCTGAGTTTTAAGCCACTGGGTCCGGGACACGAACCGCGGTCGACTACGTTGGAGTCCAGCGACATAGCCATTACACTAACTGCTGGTTCCCTAACTGCTTTAAACAATCTTTTGGGGGCCAGCAGAGGGTGTGGTGGTTAAGGCGCTAGACTCCCATGTAGTTGACTGTGGTTCAAGTCCTAAATACATCAGCTTGAAAATCACATTGGGCGTATATGTGTGCATGCCCAAAATCCCAGGAGGAGAATGGGGGAGAAGGGATTTCAGCATGGCCATCCCCCCAATGGGTGATTTCCTTAGGACAGAGGAGAAAAGATTGTGGTACACTCATCTTTGGGGGCGGTGATTTCTCACTTTCTCTGTCTCTCTCTGTGTGAGTGCACACATCCTTTGGGAAAACAGAAAGGCCCTCCTAATTTTAGTACCACCGTTACACCAGTTGTATAAGAGACTACTAATTTAAGGGTAAATCATGTTGCTTCTAAGTCTTCTTCACATCTGGTTTAGTTACCACTTCACTGCTAAACCAGTTACCACTTAACCTGTGTCTTCCACCTTCAATCTAAAATTTTGCTCTGAACTCCTCTCCCTTTCTCTGAACCCTTAAAAAAACAAACAAACAAAATACACATTTATTTATTTATTTATTTAGAGGCTTTTGCCATAGGGTGTGTGTGCTCACTGGAGAAAGAGAGACAGAGACAGACAGTGAGACGAAAAGTGAGAAATCACCCCCCGGGGGGATGGACACAGCAGTCCCTTCTCCTCCATTCTCCTCCTGGGATCTTAGGCACATCACATATGTCCAGCATGAATTTCAAGTCACTAGGTCTGGGATTCAAACTGCAGTCAACCTTGTGGGAGTCCAGCGACGTAACCACTGTGCTATCTGCTGGCCCCAACATTTATTTATTTATCAAGTTACTTGTGAATTTAAAGTCTCTGGGTCCCAGTACTCAAACCATGTGGGAATCCATCATACAACCTGCTGTCCCAGCTCTCTGAACCTTTTCTTTCCTCTAAGAATTATTTTATTTATTTATTGTGTATCAATTTGACCAGAAAAGAGTGGGGTGGGTGGGGGGAAAGTGGAGTGAGAAAGCAAGCAGCCAGGTCCAGAATTCGAACCACAATAGGCCATGTGGGAGTCCAGAGCCCTTAACCACCATGGCACCTGCCAGCCCCATCGCTGAACCCTTTTCAAAATAACTTTATTATGGGGGTCAGCAGATGGCATGGTAGTTAAAGGCACTGGATTCCCACATGGCCAACTGCAGTTCAAGTCCTAGACCTGGTGGCTTGCTTTCTCATTTTCCCTCTCTCTCTCTCTGTCTCTCTCTTGTCAGATTAAAATAATAATAACAATAATAACAACAATGATAATAACAAATGGCATTAAATAAACAATTTTTTAAAAACTTTATTATGGGGGGCAGACTGATACAGAAACAAAAAGTCACTCTGGGTTAGCAGGTGGCTCGGTGGTTGGGGGTGCTGGACTCCCACATGGCTGACCATGGTTCAAGTCCCGAACCTGGCAGCTTGCTTTCTCACTTTCTCTCTCTCTCTCTCTCTCTCTCGCTCTCACTCTGTCTCTCTCTGGTCAAATTGAAATAAAGTTAAATAAAATAATTCTTTTTAAAAAATGTCACACTCTGAAGGTTCCAGATTCACATCCAGCGACTTCCCTGAGTATGTTGGGCATGCGTGTACCCTTGATCCAGGCTGGCTGAAGCTTAAAGATTGGTTGCAGTGTCAAGATCCTGTTAAAGAGTGCTGCCTCTCTCTCTCACCAGAAACACACCAGGCACACATGCATACATGCCCAAAATCTAGAGAGGAGAATGGACAAGAAGGGATTGTGGTGTAGCCAACTCTCTGGGGGTGTCTCACTTTCCTGCTGTCTCTCTCTTGTCTTTCTGGCAAGCACACGTGCCCTATAGCAAAAAGCTCTCCAAAAAAAAAAAAAAAAGAAGAAGGAGAAAGAAAGAAAAAAACAAACAAACTTTCAAAAATAAAATAGGGCCTGCTGGTTAAGGGAACTGGATCTCACATGGCCAATTATATGGCTCAAGTCCCGGATCCAGTGGCACAAAAATCGTGCTGGGCATGTGTCCTTGCGTGCCCAAGATCCCAAAATGAAGGGAAAATGGAGACAGGACTGTAACATGACCATTCTCCATAAGGAGTGTTTTCTCCCTCTCTCTGGCAAGCACATCACCCTCTGGCTAATTAAAAAATAAATAAAACCTGGGACCAGCAGTTGGCATAATGGCTATGTCGCTGGACTCCCATGTAGTGACCACAGTTTGAGTCCCAGACCCAGCAGCTTAAACTCAGGCCAGGCGCATGTGCATGTGCACTGAAGATCCTGAGAGGAGAATGGAGGAGAAGGGATTGCAGTGTGGCCATCCCCCTTGAGGGTGTGATTTCTTGTTTTCTGTCTCTGTCTGAGAGGTTTTGTTTTTGTTTTTGTTTTTGTTTTTGTTTTTTTTTGCTATAGGGTGTGCGCGCTCGCCAGACAGACAGAGAGAGACAGAGAGATAGAAAGCGAAAAATCATCCCCCAGGGGGGATGGCCACACCGCAATCCCTTCTCCTCCATTCTCCTCTTGGGATCTTGGGCATGCATGCACACGCGCCCGGTGTGAGTTTAAGCCACTGGGTCCAGGACTCGAACCGCGGTCGACTACGTGGGAGTCCAGCTACATAGCCATTACGCTAACTGCTGGTCCCTCTCTGTCTTTCTGACGAGCACACACACACTACAGCAAAAACTTCTCAAAGTAAATAAATAAATAAAACCAAAAGAAGCAGAATAAAAATAAGTAAAATAATTTTATTATTGTATTAGAACTTAGAGAAAAATGAAGTTAAATACTAGATCCATCAAGTTTAACTAAGTCTCTATTCATTTGCTAATTTGTACAAACTGTTTTCCTTCCTGATGATTTTCCATAAACTGCCAATCGTGTTCTTTCCAAAAAAGATAAATCTGATCTTAACAAAGTTCTTAAGAATCCATGGGACCAGCAGATGGCGTAATGGTTACATGGCTGGACTGCCACATAATCAACCATGGCTCAAGATCTGGTAGCTTAAAACTCACGCCCAGGCATGTATGCGCACATGCCCAAAATCCCAGGAGAAGAATGGAGGAGAAGGGATTTCAACATGGTCATCTCCGTGGGTGATTTTTAGCTTTTTCTCTCTTTGTCTCTCTGGCAAGTGCACATGCCCTATAGCAAAAATCTCTCTTAAAAAAAACCTTAAAACCCTTCTAATGCTTTCAAATGGCTTCAAGAAGAAAGTCCAAATTACTTAGGTTGCAAGCCTTTACCTGATCCTCCCTCGAGTCAGTCACTATCACAACTAACCACCACCACTCTATTCATTCCAGTCAAACTAAACTCCTCACAGGACTCCCAACCTGCTGGACCCCTTCACAGCCCCCTTTTCTTGTCTATGCTGTTTCTCATTCCCACTCCAACTTCTCATCCACCTTGCTAACCCTTTAAGATGCAAGCGACACTTCCTCTAAGAATCCTTTATCTGTGCCCCTTATGACATACGCTGGGCATATCTCTAACAAAACATCTATTGCATTATCCCGTGACAGTCCATCTCATTCATCCTTGGATCCCCAGAGCCCAGCACATAACATATAACCAGAAAAGGAAAAGGGCAAGAAGGAGCCAGAATCAGAGACTACATCTGTAATCTACTGGGCTTCTGGTCAGGGAGAAGCGCTCGGCAGAATAATGTAACACTCACCAAATCAAGCTTTCCTCGGACGACCTGGCCGGTCTGGAGGTATACCCCTAGCACCCATCAGACGCTTAGTAAAGTAGAATACATGTGAGGCCACAATGTCATCAACGTGACGGATCCCAAGGGCCTCAGGCCGGGGAATATCTCAAGATCGCCTCTGATCACAGGTGGTCCCGAGGCGATGCGCAGACCCCGCCCAGCTCAGGAGATGCTGGGAGTTGTAGTTCCCCAAGCGGACCTAGCGAGGTGAGACTGCGCTGAGCATCCTGGGAATTGTAGTGTCCGCTAGAGAACACTCTCTGCGCAGGCGCACACCCACAGCCACTTCCGGGCTCGAGCTCGAGCTGCGCATGAGAAAGTCCAGGGAGGGATTTCCAGAGCGACGATGGCTACCTACAGCCTGGCGAACGAGCGACTACGCGCCCTGGAAGACATCGAACGGGAAATCGGCGCCATCCTTCAGAATGCAGGTCCGCGATGCGACAGCCGGACGGCAGGCCTGCAGCGAGAGCGAGGCGGAGCCGAACCGCGTGCACAGGCGCTGACCTGAGACTAGGGGCTGGCTGGGGGAGGGATCCTAAGGGCTTGCGCGGCAAAGGTGCAGGGCTGAGTGGCGGGCCCTGCCATTAGGGTGGGGCAGTCTCCGAGTGTCCCCGCCCTCCGTTCTCCCCGGCAGGTACTGTGATACTGGAACTGTCCAAGGAGAAAACCAACGAGCGGCTCTTAGACCGGCAGGCGGCGGCCTTCACCGCTTCTGTGCAACACGTGGAGGCGGAGCTGTCGGCCCAGATCCGCTACCTCACCCAGGTGGGTGTGTCTGGAACGTGCTGCACTGCCAGCCCTCTGCCCTAGCCTTATTCTTCTCCAATCCCCGAGAGAGAATAGCTGGGCAGAACCAGATTTCCTAACCCGGCACCGCCCCTGACCTAACCGAATGACCCTGGCAGGACCCCGCCTTTCCAGGGTCGGGTTTTTTTTCTCTAGAAGGAAAAGATGAAAGGCTTCTTCCCTGTCTGTTTCACTGGTTAGCATCACATGAGCCACCGGTTGGGGAAGTGCCCGGGATAAGGCCTGTAAACAATTCTAATGCCACAGGACTTTGTCCTTAGTGACTTGGCATGATCTCAGGGCATGAGGCCCCAGATGCTTACATCCTGAGATACGGGACAGGATTGAAAAGGTTCTGAAGTCATACAATAGTTACCACCATTGACTAATTTTTTTTAAATCTATAGGTCATGTTCACTTGTAGGGGAGGTGGGGGGGGTGAGAACAGCACACCTCCCCCAGGTGAGGGGTGATGGAGATGGCCAGGCTACAGTCCTTTCTCTCATGATTTGTGCATGCACATGAGTTTTCAAGTTGGGGGAAGGGAGGTGTCAGGGACTTGAACTGCCCAGTCAGCCATGTGGGATCCATTGCCTTAACCACCACGTCACTGCCTGCCCCCTCCCCAATTACTGTTTTTGCTATGTGTTAGACATTCTGCATTATCTTTCTCTTTGATTACCAGAAGGCACATACACTTGCCAGAGAGAGAGAGGGAAAGTGAGAGAGCAACCCCCAATAGGGCATGGACATGATGTAATCCCTCAATTTCTCCCACTGGTCAAGATTTTGGGCACCCACGCATAGGCACCCAGCATGCTGCTGGGGCAGGCTTCGAACTACAATCAGCGTGGAATCTGGCTCCCTTACACACCAGGCCCCTGTATTATCTTATCCAATCTTACAACTCTCCTAAGTGTTATCATCACACACACCCCCTGTTTTACAGATGAGGCTAGAAGTTAAGTGATTTGCCCTAGGTTACCCAGCTACCATGTGGCTTATGATTCAAACTCAGGGAAGAGTGAGACAAGAGACCTGATGCCTGGTTAAAGGGTGGGTAGAAGAGGCAGTGCTCCATTGATGAATCGAACTGTCTTATAGGTGGCCACAGGACAGCCCCATGAGGGCTCCAGCTACTCTTCAAGGAAGGACTGTCAGATGGCTCTGAAGCGAGTGGACTATGCCCGCCTTAAGCTCAGTGATGTGGCCCGAACCTGTGAGCAGATGCTGGAGAGCTAAGCCACAGAGCTGGATCAAGAACGTAAAGGGAGACCATCACCTGTACCATGAGACAGAACCTGGAGACCTATAGGATGGAAACCACAGACTGACACATATGTGTTCTGCAGATCCAGAGCACACTAGGACAAAGGGCAAAAGGTGGGTGTGGAGAAACTAAAACCCAAGCCTGCCTACAACTGTGCCTTGGCTTCCCCAGGAGGTGCTCCCGCTTTGTACTTCACAAATGCACTGCCAGGCTCAGACGGGAGAAGGAGATGGAGACATCCAGCCACTTCCTCACAGACTTCATCCCATGCCCCAGGCTTCCCTCAGATCTGGCCCAGTGAAGATATATTCGTCTTCATCGAAAGAGATGAAACAAGAACTAAGGGTTTTAATAATAAAAAAAGTAACAAAACAAAAAATTCAATCCTTGGGGTTATATATGAATAATGCAAGAGACTGAGGAATAACACCAGCCTCTCTGCTGCTGAGGAGGGAGGTTGGAAATCCCAGACACACCACGGGGTTTGGGGAGGAAACGAGGGCCGAGGTTGGAGAGGAGGAGCTGGTAGGATGTGCACAAAGACGTGGGAGAAGGGGGACTGTCAGCAGGGACGCTGACACCAGGAGTCATGATAAGGAGGCAAGGGTCTAAAGCCAATGTCTGCAAAATGAAGAGTCAGTAGATATAAAAATAATTTTTAGTAGTTAAAAAACACACATACAAAATTTCTCCAAGCTCTCATCCAGCAAGAAAGGCAAATTTTAGAATATATCATTTAAAAAAAAAAAAAGCCAGAGGGAAGTGATTGGTTAGCCATGTGTTCAAAATTGGCAAGTTCAGAATATTTATCAGACTATTAATTGCACAAAGCACTTTTAAAAGTAAGTCATAACTTCTGCCCTCATAAATTCCGTTCTTGACTCAGGCATTGGAATCCGGTGCTACAGGTATATAACGAAGCTGCGAATCTGGAAGTGATAAAGAAATCGAGAGATAAGCTCTGAGATCAAGGGTAATTGGTGGGTGGTGATAGCTTGAACTGGGGAATCAGACACTAAGACATTACTATGATCTGGTACATGGTAGGTGTTCATAAAGGCTTGCAGACTGAAGGAAGGCCTCACCTTCCTCCAGCTTCATCCCCCACTAATCTAGTCTGGCTGCCTGGCTTTGAAGGCCATGATCACTATGGGTTCCTTGGCCCATAGTGGCTGCCCTCCTCCACTCTAGTCTGGCTCACTCTACTCAGCCTATGGTTTACGATGTACACAGCCTTAATATTTGTGTGCTGGGTCAGGATTCCAGCCACCTGAGAGCTACTTGGGGCAGAGTCTCTACCAGGAAGCTGGGTCCGTAGGGGAGGAGGGGTTCAGAGGGCCAGTTTACCTGGGGGGTGCTGCAGTGACTGTCCCCTTCTTTTCTTGCACACCACGTAGAGGAGGAATATGGTGAGGAGGAAGACGATGGCCAGTAGGGACGGCACTGCCACCATGGCTGATGTATCAACTGTAAGACCTCCATTTTCTTCCAGCTGCTTCTGATTCTTCTCAGCCTCAGACTTAACTCCCAGACTGTGCCCCATAGTCTGGTTTGGAGTGATGGTCTCACTGGGTTGGGGGAACTCTTTGTCCAAGGACGGTGTTCCAGGTGGAAGGGTGGACTGCAGAGTAGATCCTGGCAGAAAAGTCTGGGCAGTGGTGCCCATGTCTGGAGGTGCCCCCTTTGTGGGCTCAGGACTCTGAATGGTGGGGGGAGGTAAGTCCTTCCTGTGGGCCAGACTTTCCGAGTGAGAATGTCCACATTCTGGAGAGAAAAGGAGTGAGGAATCAGGACTATTGTGACAAAGGGAGGAAAGTGATAGAGGTATAGGAGTGAAAAAGTAGTATATCTTCCTCTCCATTACAGGGGTCATGGCTGACCACCCCCCCCATAACCAAAAACAGGTTAACAAGAGAAAAGCATAACCAACTTATTTAAAAGTTTCATGTGTTGGGACCAGCAGTTGGTGTAATGGCTATATCGCTGAACTCCCATGTAGTCAACCGTGTTTCGAGTCCCGGACCTGGTGGCTTAAACTCAGCTGGGCGCGTGTGCGTGCGTGCCCAAGATCCCAAGAGGAGAATGGAGAAGGGATTGCGGCGTGGCCATCCCCCCTGGATTTGTGCATTGCCCGCCCCCCCCCCCCCGGGGAGTGATTTCTCGCTTTCCGTCTGTCTGTCTCTGTCTTTCTGGCAAGTGCACACACCCTATAGCAAAAATTTCTCCAAAACAAAAAGTTCCATGTGATATGAAAGCTTTCAGAAATGAAGACTCAAAGACCCAGGGAAAACTATTTTCACGTTTAGGTTCAATGAAGAATGGAAAGATTTATATAGAAGTATGATTCACAAAAAAGGGTATGATCTAGGTCAGCTCTGTAGTGCAGCAGTTAGGCCCTGGGCATAAGGAGCAAGAGCCTACCTGGCCAAGCAAAGTTCGAATCCCAGCCTTGGCAGCTTGAAAAACATACCAGGCATGTGTACATGCCCAGAATCCTGACAGGATGAAGAAATGGGAAAAAAAGGATTGCAGAGTGACCACAACCCATTGGGGGTTCATTCTCTCCTCTCTCTCTTTCACATGCCCTCTGGCAATCGTTTTGTTTTTTTTTTTTTTTTTAATTTTCCAAAAGCACTGTTTTTATTTATACAGCTCTAACCACTTTAGCAGCAGGAGGAGTGGAAGAGGTTCCTTTTACAATCCAGGGGCCTCCATATGTTGGTTGTTGTCACCAAACACACAGGCAAGTGGCATCACAGATTTGGTAAACTAATGACAATGTTTAGTCTCTCTGCTAGAGCAACAAGGTGAGCATCAATCTCTGCTTCTGTAAGAATCCTGAATTTAGGATTTTCAACTCTAACTCCTCCCACTTCTATTTCTGAAGGTTTGAAATCAATGGACAGGCATGTAATTGCAGTTTCCACTGTCTGTTCAAATGTCCAATCAAATTTCTTCTTCACTTTTTTTTTTTTTTTTTTCAAGGAAGCTGGTTGACTCAGTTTGTTTAACTCCTGGGCAGTGGCTTTAAACCCACAGTAGTGACCTGCAGGATTGCACTTGTACACCCGAGGACCTTGTTCCTTATCTATACCGATTAATATCATACAACAACGAAGAGGCCTTATTTCAATATTCTGTGTGTAGACCCGAGATATACCAGCAATTCTTTCCCACAGTATGTCCACAGGAATCTCATAGCCATACTTGTATTTCCAGTTAGCTGCCTCATAGCGTGCCCTCTGTACCTGGGATTGGCTGTCAGCTGTCATCCCTGTCATCACACAGCCAGTGCTTTCGGTTATCTTGAACAAGTGAGTCACTGTGCTAGAATCCAATAATTTGTCAGGAATTTTTTCTGTGTGATAATTACTGCACAGTCTTTCCCTCTCACAGCTACTGATGTAAGGCCACCCTGGCTAATAGCCTTGAAAGCATATTCTACTTGGTAGAGCTGGCCCTCGGGTGAAAAAATGGTAACGTGGCTGTCAAAACCAGCGCTGGGGAACCAGCAGTTAACGTAATGGCTATGTCGCTGGACTCCCACGTAGTCGACCGCGGTTCGTGTCCCGGACCCGGTGGCTTAAAACTCACGCCGGGCGCGTGTGCATGCGTGCCCAAGATCCCGAGAGGAGAATGGAGGAGAAGGGATTGTGGCGTGACCATCCCCCCTGGGGGGTGATTTCTCACTTTCTGTCTCTATGTCTCTCTCTCTCTCTCTCTCTCTCTCTGTCTGGCGAGCGCATGCGCCCTACAGTGAAAATCTCTCCAAAAAAAAAAAAAAAAAAACCAGCGCTGGGACCACGGGACATGTTGGTGCATCCCCTACTTCCAAGTACAATCTCTGACTCCCCTCTGGCAATCTTTTAAAAAGAGTTTGGGGGATCAGCAGATAGCATAATGGTTATGTCAGTGGACTCCCACATGGCCCACCATGGTTCAAGTCCTGGACCCACAGGCTTGAAATTCACAACAGGCGGGACCAGTAGTTGACAAAATGGCTATGTTTCTGGACTTCCATGTAGTCAACCATGGTTCGAGTCCCGGACCCGGTGGCTTAAACTCATGCTGGGCACGTGTGCATGCATGCCCAAGATCCTGAGAGGAGAATGGAGAAGGGATTGTGGTGTGGCCATCCCTCCTTGGGGGGGAGGGATTTCTCAATTTCTTTCTGTCTCTCCAGCGAGCACATGCACACTACAGTAAAAAAAAAAAAAAAAAAAAAGAGTATGGGAGTATGGGGCCTGCTGATGATGGGGTTAAGGCAGCTGGATCCCACATAGTTGACTGTGTGGTTCAATTCCTAGACCAGCAGCTTAAGAAACATGCCAGGTGCATGTATGTGCATGCCTAAAATCTTTTAAAAAGGGAGAATGGAGGAGAAAGGATTACAGCTTGATCATTCCCCATGGGGTGTACTTTCTCACACTCTCTCTTTGGCAAGTGCACACACCCTCTGACAAAAAAAAAAAAAAAACAAAGGCTATACTCTAATGGTAATAAACTGGGAGGTGAAAGGATTACTGGGCATACCCAGATTCTTCTTAGCCTCCAGATATAGGGCAAGATCCCCCTGGAATGAGGGTGTTAGGACTGACTTCCAGAGGAGTCAGGACAGAGAATTCCTTTACGTCCAGCTCTCACACAGGAAGGCAGGAGAAGACCAGACTGACCTTGTTTCTGCAGTTTTCTCACTTGCCAAGGTACCATATTTTAAGGTACTGTGCTCCAAGCCCTGACAGAGCAAAGGGTAGCAGTTCAGAGACCCTCAAGGGGACATGAAGCCCAAAGAGGGGAGTGCAGAAGGGAAAAGTGAGAAACAAGATGGTGAGCAAACTACATACTAGGGCAAATGAACATTCACAGCTGGGAAGTCAAGAGATCTGAGCTGGAACCCTGGCTCTGCTGCAAAGTAGCTATGTGACCTTGCCCCCTGTCCTAACCTCTCTGGTACTCATTCCTTTGAACTGTTAAGGGAGGATCATTTTAGCACCAAGAACCAAGGTAACTGGGAGTATTAAATAACAGGTCTGTAGTACTGTACCACTGATGCTACCCAAGATAAATTTAGCTAGGACACAGAAGAACATGTTGTACTTTAATGGGTGCATATTCATTTCAGAAGAAAAATACCACCAGTACATCCACTGGTGACCTCACAGATGTACTGCTTAGAACAATTTGCTATTTAAGGTTTTTAAAACTGGTTTCTGGGCCAGCCAGTGGCATGGTGATTAAAATGACTAGATTCCATGTAGCTGACTGCAGTGGTTCAAATCCTGAACTCAGAACTTAAAAAACATACCATGTGCATGTGTACCCAAAATCTCCAAAGGATAAGTGGAAGAGAAGGGATTTTTGACATGACCATCACCCATGAAGGAGTGCTTTCTCTCTTTCTCTCTCTCTCTCTCACACACACATGCGCGTGCACATGCACACACACCTTCCCCTCCCAGCAAGCGCACACACCCTCTAGCAAAATAAAAAATAAAAATATGGGACCAGCAGAGGGTGTAATGATTACATTGCTGGACTTCCACCTAGTCAACTGCTGTTCAAGTCCTGGACCTGGCAGCTTAAAACTTACATCAGGCTTGTATGCATGTGTGCCCCAAATCCCAAGAGAATGGAGGAGAAGGAATTGTGGCATGGCCAACCCCTAAGGGGGTGATTTCTCACTTTCTGTCTCTCTCTCCAACAAGGGTACATGCCGTAGACCAAAAAAAAAAAAAAGAGAGAGAGAGAGAAAGAGAGAGAGAGAAAAAAAAGTTAGAAGGGACAGAGCAGAACAAGAGGGAGACACTTGTGTACCTACTGGCACTGGGGTCTGCAGGGGAGCCCTGCAGGGAGTACTTCACAGCCCTGAAGCCTAACCCAGAGGCCCAACCCAAACAGAGGTGGAGGATCCTGGAAGTTTTCTTTTTTTTTGACAGGTTTTCGCTATTGGGCGCGTGCGCTCACCAGACAGACAGAGAGAGACATAGAGACAGAAAGCGAGAAATCACCCCCCGGGGGGATGGTCATGCCGCAATCCCTTCTCCTCCATTCTCCTCTTGGGATCTTGGGCACGCATGCACATGCGCCCGGCGTGAGTTCTAAGCCACCGGGTCCGGGATGTGAACTGCGGTCGACTACGTGGGAATCCAGCGACATAGCCATTGCGCTAACTGCTGGTTCCCAATCCTAGAGGTTTTTTATCCTGACTGGCACTGGGGTCTGCCTCAATGTATTTTAATTAATTTCTTTTGTGAGAGAGACAACACCTTCCAACATAGTCTTGATGTCTTGATCCACCCCCCACCCTCAGCTAGCACAAGATCAACTTGGGAAGTTATACTTTGGGAAGTCTCTTGATTTCATCTGGGAACTTTTCATGTGGAATTGCCTTGCAGGATGTTGATTTTTTTTTTTCTTCAATATTGCCAGAGGGTACATGGGCTTGTCAGAGACAGAGAGAGAGAGAAAGCACCCCTACTGAGGCATGATCACTCTGCAATCTCTTCACCATTTCTCCATCCTGTCAAGATTCTAGGCACACAAACACACATATGGCATGTTTTTCAGCCACTAGGGCTGGCATTTGAGCAGCAGTAGGCCATGTAGGATCTGGCTTCCCTAACAACGAGACTACACGGTGGCCCAGAACATTGAATTTTACTACTGCATCACTGTCTGACCCTTTATGGCACTATTTTTGTTTTCCAGTGTCTTATTATGAAACTTTAAACATACACAGAAGTTGAAAGAATTGTACAGTGAAT